TCTCACGCTCAAGAGGTTTGTAACTTGGTTATGGTGGGAGACAGAGCTCTCAATCCCAGAGTACGTCCGCAACAACACCAACGAGATCTACGACCTGGTCGACCTCTACGTTGCTCACCTCACCGACACCAACACCAAGAGCTCGGCAAACAGGATCCAGTTCACGCGAGTGAAGAACGCCAGCAAGCCGAATTGCAACCTCACCAGGGGCGAGCGAGTGGAGGACAAGTTCAAAGGCGTCACATTCTCCTGGGTCTTCAACGTCACCGAGCCCTCCAACGGCGGAGGCTTCAGCTATTTTGATCGAAGTGGAGGAACACAGCGAGAGTACGTTGTCCAAGTTCACAGGAGGCACAAGTATACACTCTTGCCCGAGTACATGAGGGAAGTGATCAAGCTCGGAGAGAGCTTGAAGCGCCAGAACCAAGACCGGCAGCTCTACACCAACATAGGAAAATCGGACGACTACAGGAACCAGCCGTGGAGATCGGTGCCTTTCAAGCATGCCTCGACGTTCTCGAGCCTGGCGCTGGATCCCGAGCTCAAGAACAAGATCGTCGAGGACCTGGATTCCTTCATGGCTGGTAAGGATTTCTTTGAGAGAGTTGGGAGGGCTTGGAAGCGAGGGTATCTCTTATACGGGCCTCCGGGGACTGGGAAGTCGTCACTCGTCGCTGCCATAGCAAACTACACGCAGTACGATGTCTATGACATGGAGCTGACGGAGGTGAAGAGCAATGCCGACTTGAGGAAGCTGCTCATGGGGATTTCCAACAAGGCGATTATCGTGATCGAGGACATTGACTGCTCGCTGGAGCTCAAGAAAAGGGGAAAGCCAGCGCCGGAGGAAGAAACCAGTGAAGAGTCCAAGGAGAAAGATGGAGCGTTGCCAGGGAAGAAAGGTATGAAAGAGGAAGAGAGCAGCCGGGTCACACTCTCGGGGCTACTGAATTTCATCGATGGGTTGTGGTCTTGTAGCGGGAGCGAGAGGATCATCATCTTTACGACAAATCACAAGGAAGATCTGGATCCCGCACTGCTGCGGTCGGGCAGGATGGACCTTCACATTTTGATGGGCTACTGTGGATTTGAGGCGTTCAAGGTGCTGGCATGGACTCACCTTGAGATCTCGCAGAAGGGCGAGTTTGAGAAGGAGTTTGGAGAGATCGAGGAGCTGATCACCCAGGTTGAGATCACTCCTGCTGATATCGCGGAGACGTTGATCCAGAACAGGGGGAACTCGAGAGGGGCTCTAGAGAAAGTGATTGAGGCTCTTCGAGATCGAATGGCGAAGAAAGAGGGAGAAGAGGGGGGGTAAAAATAAAATACCCTAAACATTGCACTAATCGTAATTAAAGTAACATTTAACTATGTTTTATGTTGTTTTAAAAAGGATTATGAGGTACTTGTAGTACGGTCAATTGAGATCAGATGGATCGTTGGCTATGCAATCCGTTTGCAATGAGGAGGAGAATTCTTCGTGGAAGAAGTTGGTGGTCACTGTGGCTCATTCATTCATAGAAGTTTAAATCATTCCACTAAGCTGGTTTTCGATCGCCGTTAATCGTGTTTGCTAGAATGCGATGCTTACGGCATAGCTCATTTGACCGCTGAGGACATCGACATGGATGCTCAGTATGAGAGCTTGGTGATTGCGTAAATTCTTCCTGGCTACCTTTTGCATCATACTTCTCAAACTATGCAGCAGCTTTTGGAATGTGGATGTAAGCACACAAAAAATGGGAGAGGAAAACTTGAAGGATCTTGTTCTTCTCACAACGCTCCTATCACGTCCAAATCTTCTCTAAACTTTCAAAGGTACACTGTGTGGTTTCTACTTTCTCTAAAGAAAAGCCATTGAATTGGCCAGGACTTTGAGCTAAGATCCGCCAAGGAATCAAGCTTTGCATGGCGCTCACGCTGGCCGCTCTTGCCAGTCAGATCGTTCGAGCTATCTTCTAGAGCGACAAATTTGATAATGTTGCCGCTCAAGTCGTATAATCTTTTGTCAAGCCCTGTAAAATTTCCTTCCAAAACAATGTTTCTTTCTAAGAAAAATCTCACTATCGATTTTTTGTTTTACATTCTGTCTCACAAGCTTGTTGCCACCATAGCTCCTGTTATCATGGCTATTAGAGAGTTTTCCTTCCCTTGTACGTTTTTGTTTTTGTTTTTTTATTTCCTGTATCTCCGAGTAAACTCTCAATGTATGTTGCTCCAGTGATTTGCATTTCAGGCACAAGATCGAGATATCGTCTTTATTGCAGAAGCAGACAAGAGCAGCAAAGTTTTCCATCGATAGCAGCCGTGAAAGCCATGTCGCAAGCTGTTATCACGCCCATCATGGAAGTGTGACAAACGAAACTCTCTCGTGGCCAGTGAGGACTCGTACGGCAGATATTGCGCCACTGCCTGATCATTGAGTTCCAAGGCTGTTTGGACACAAGGGATTCTTGACTTCGATGAATTATTGTTTATACTCCATCAGAGATTCATGTTCTTGACAGTTTCCAACTTAATATGTTGAAGAATATTTTACTAGAATATTCCTGCAAGCGTGTATAAAAGGGTTCTCTTTTGCTGCCGTTCCATACTATGGCAAAGAGAAAGTGGGATGGCATGACCAAGACGAGGAGGAAGAGAATGAATCCCTCAATCTGGTCGCGGCTGCCTCGAGACATCCAACACCAGCTCATCACTCACCTCCCAATCCCCACCCTCTGCCGCTTCTGCTCCCTCTCCAAGGATTGGCATGCGGCAATCCTCCAGCAGCAGTCGCGGCAGCAATGGTACATCACCTTTGCCAACTCCGAGGGTGAGTTTCGCATCTCACCCAACGGCATCTCCTGGAAGGTGTTAACTCACCCCCTCCCAGAGGCCCCAAAGGTACGCAGGATATTTGGTTCTCTGAGCACTTGCTCGGCAGGTTTGGTACTGGCCTTCTCTCTCTCTCAAACCTTTCTAGTGTTCAATCCAATGATTCAAAACAGGCACGAGCTGCTTCCGCGGCTGATCGGTAATGTGATCTTTACTGCCATTCAATCAGTGCCATGCGGTAGCGAAGGAATCTCGTACATCGTTGTTGCCGTGACTACTTCCGGTACCGCTGGCAACCTGCGGATGCACTTGTATGATTCGCGGGTGGCAGCGTGGATCTCTACTACAGACTTCCCTGTGCCAGACAATGGCGAGCTCTTCTGCCGTGGCAATAGGAACTACAACAACAAAAACATGCTGCTCCAGGGCGATCATCTGTACTTCTTCACCGTTTCGCCAGGAAATGTGACAAGGCTCAAATTATTCAACGTGTGGAACCCCAAAGCCACCCTTCGAACCGTGGCAACGTGGACGAGCCTGCCCTTGGGCTTTGATGCGGCTGGTTATGCGCGCACGGGCTTTGTAGAAAAGGATATGTCTCTCATCTCTTGTGGAGGTAATTCTTCATTCTTGTGTGGCTTTTTAAGCTGACGATTGTAGTTATTTGCAGGAAGGATTGTGCTTGGCATACTAGAACCAAGGGATGACAACAGGAACCTTGGAAGCCGCAGGTTTGGTTTTGTGTATCTGGACAAGGAGAGTTGCAGTTGGCAGGTGATGGCATCCTTGAGCCTTGACAGCGTTTTTTCGCCTGGGATGATAAAAAATTCCGAGTACACCACCATGATAGCTGTTGGAAACAAAAACAGTAGCGAGGTGGCACTGCTTTTTCAAGAAAAATGGGGATGCATCTTAAATCTGGCTTCTGGTACTTGGCATGCCAATTATCGGCACCCAGTGAGAAGTGCGATTCTTCCATTCCAGCCTTCCTTCCAGAATTTCTAATGACACATGTACCCTGGATTTACGAAAGAAAGTCTTAAGAACTTCTTATCCCATGATGTTACACATCGAAGCATTAGAAATCTGCTAGCCTTCTATTGCAGGTAATGTTACAAAGCAGGCAGGTGCTGTTTCAAAGCCTTGATTGAGCACTGGAGCAGAAACATGCACCGAGAAGAAAACCAGCATCGAATGAGCTGCTGCCATAGAATTAGACGAAGCCTCGTGAAAGTGATCACGGGACAGGGAATCCTGGGCTTGACAAGATCAGCAGCTCAGGGAGCTCCGTGTACTTTCTGCTTGCGAGCATCTCCTCCTGCTCGCCAACGTTTGAATAATCAAACGTTGACTTACGAAATCGCGGTTCATGTTGGAACTGGATCATCGCCGCCAGCGCCTATCGACGGTTCAAACAGCCCGGTTAACTCTTCCAGTCAACGAAAGGTCAAGGACCCGGTCAAAGACCTAGTCAACGTCCGCAACGTATAAAGGATGTTAAGATCGCTCGTCAGCTAGGAGAGCTATCAGGCCGCGACGAAAGGTACTTGAAGATGACCATTTGTATCAGCAGCTCTTGGATTGTAAGCACACAATAAATAGGAATTGTTTGAGTGATCTTGTTTTTTCTCACAAAACTCCCAATCTTGTCATTGCTCTTCTACACTACACTTGTGTAGTTTCTCTACAGAAACTGGAAGAAAAGCCGTCGAACTGGCTAGAACGTCGTGCTAGGATCCGTGATGGCATAGTTTTACATGTCACCGCTCTTGCCAGACCGATCGTCTGAGTTCTCTTCCAGCGCAACAAATAATTCTTTCTAAGTTGTGATAACATTCGTTCTTGCCTGTGTTTTTGTCCATGCTTAATATAATAATGTAGCCTTTGAGTGCCTTTACTATTTGACAAGGGTGACGTGTCACCGCTGTGACGCTTCAAAGTTAGGGCAAAAGAATGCGCGTCCAGAGGAATGCCCCGACGAGGTGGAGGTAACTTTTGATCGCCCAGGTTGTGTATACGAGACATCGACTTGGGCATTTTCTTTTCATGCACAGGCAAGGCCCCTCCGAGGCCAAAGGCGGTGCAACGTCCCAACAGTGCTCCTCCGCCATCTGGTAAGAACACAATCGGTATGATCGCGATTCGCGACTGAAAGAACTCGTTTGTGGGCTTGTGCAGTTTACCATGCCCCGGCTCCTTCAATGCTGGGAGGCCTTGCGGCAACAATCGCGCAAGGTGTGAGATCTAAAGAGTGTGGCTTTATTTTACGTGGTTTTCTAAACGATTTCTTTGAGTTTGAGCAGGAGCGGCATTTGGAACCGGTAGCGCTGTGGCGCACCGAGCAGTGGATGCCGTTGCAGGACCTCGCACGGTTCACCACGAGCACACGACAGTAGCATCAGCCCAGCCAGCGATGGCTCCGCAGAGGAGCATGGACGATTTGTGCTTGAACGCAACCAAAGCCTTCCAAGAGGTACCATTTTATTTTCTTTTCTAGTATCTATAATATAAATAATTTAGAGCTAAATACTTATATATGTTCTTCTTTTAATTTGTTTTGCAGTGCGTGAATTCTAATCTCAATGATATTGGAAAGTGCCAGTTCCTGCTGGATATGCTTAACGAGTGCCGCAAAACGTCCTCAGGTGAAGCTTTTCACCAAGTTCTTTTGATCTTTTCCTTCTTTTTCCTGTTTTATTAATATGTTTAATTACAATCAGGTCCATCCCAACCATGAGGGAGCCATCAAATTTTTAGTTTTTAGATCTTTTCAAGCCCGACGTTTCAGTTTAGCTTTCTTGAAATAATCTCTTCCAAAAGATGTAATATTTAAGTTTTTGTGTAGAAGATTAAGATAACAATGGGGATGTAGCTCAGATGGTAGAGCGCTCGCTTAGCATGCGAGAGGCACCGGGATCGATACCCGGCATCTCCATTCCCTTCCGGTGACACCAATCAGTGCCACGCTTTTCCTATTTTCGACCATTCTCCCGCAAGTCATTTTCCTATTTTCCACCATTCTTTTGCAAGTCATTTTCCTTGTGAGGTGCTAGATCAAATCGTTGGATGAGCCAATCGCCTTATCTCCAAGACTCCACAAGCCAGTGATCCATAAGAGATTGGCTGATACGGCAAGAAATCTATAGAGCTTCTTTTATCAGAGAAGAAGTTTCTTCTCGCCATGGATCCAGAGATCCGATCCAAACTGACCACTCCAATCCATTTTCTAAGCTTTTCTAAGAGTTTACCAAAGTAGTGGCTATGGTGGTCCAATCTACTCCTTTGGTATTCTAGTAAAATAGAACTTGGCCTCTTCCGAAATCCTCGGATTTTCTTGTGGCACAAAACAAAATCCATTTTCTAAGCTTTTCTAAGAGTTTACCAAAGTACTGGCTATGGTGGTCCAATCTACTCCTTTGGTATTCTAGTCAAATAGAACTTGGCCTCTTCCGAAATCCTCGGATTTTACACAAAAACAAAAGGAAACGTTAAGAAAACGTTAAAGAATGTTACGTCCCCGCGAAGGAGATTCCAACAGCGACGCGAGTGACTCTCGATCGACTAGATTCTTTCTTCGAGTCCATTCATACCTGCGAGGCGAAAGATTTAAAAACCCCGGACACTTGCAAAGGATCACAATGTGACTGATTGATGCTATTGACGGTTTGAGAATAGACGCGTTCCAAATAATGTAAGGTTTCAAGGAGTAAAATCGACTATTGGGCCCCTAGATCATCCACTTTTGCCACCTACATTAGAGCTATGGTACTTTCTAAAAAGTTGGTAGGGCAAATAGTGTTTTTTGACTTTAAGATGAAGGGATGCGTTTAACCGACATAGCGATTGAAACCGTGGGATGTGGGCCGATCCAACGGCATGCGAGCGCGTAACGCGCGGTACCGCGGGCGGGTGACGCGTGGCGCGTGTCGGGGAAGAGAGTGCGCCACCTGCCTGGTTGCGAATATTATTTAGATTCCCAGGAGGAGGGGGAAAAGAGAAAGCGCCCCATTGTCTTTATATATTTAGGGCTCTTGAGAGCGAGAAGCGCGGCATTCATAGCGCCCTTTTGGTGATTCTTTCTAGTTTCTCGCACGAGTGATGTGATCGTAGTTTGTATAGCGGCGCCAGGGTCTCGGAGGAATGCGGCATGCTCAGGCATCGATTTTCATCGATTCTCTCGTGGTTTGAGCAGCAATAGCATGATCTTGACTGGGAATGATAGGTAGGAGGAGGAATCGGCAGCGCGGCAGGCAAAATATTTGATCCAGGGATCAAGGAAGGGGGAAAGGAAATTCAAGGCGATGGCGTCGTCGACACTGCGATTGGCATCGCTGCTGCTCGTCCTCTTCTACTTCTGGTACCCCCAGCTCGGCATCGGCTCGAAATTCGCGCACTCGCCGCCCCGCCGGAGGCATTTGCTCCAAGAATCTGCCAGCAATCCGGAAATATTTCCAGGGAATCACTCCTCGCTGCTGTTTGCGCGCTCCAAATTCTCGGTGGGGAAGCACGACGAGGATCGAGCGCCGTGCGAGGGCGCCGCCAAGCACAAGGGTTTTTCCAGCCCTTGCTCCTACGCGATGGCACACGAGGACTGCCAATCCGGCGGCCTCTTCGAGTACATCCAGATCTACTACTGCATCGACGCCGATAATCCACACCCCCGGCTCAAGAACATCCTCTCCTTCCTCGCGATCTCCCTGTGGCTCGTCGCCCTCTTCTACATGCTGGGCAACACCGCCGCGGACTACTTTTGCTCGTGCCTGGAGCGACTGTCGCAGCTCTTGCGACTGCCGCCCACTGTCGCGGGGGTGACGTTGCTGCCACTGGGCAACGGTGCCGCTGACGTGTTCGCCAGCGTGGCGTCCTTCTCGGGCTCGCACCGTGGCGGCGCCGTGGGCATGAACTCGGTGCTGGGCGGGGCAGTGTTCGTGGTCACGGTGGTCACAGGCGTCGTGAACATCCTGGTAGCCAGCGGCGATTTCGCGATCGATGGGCGATGCTTTGTTCGCGACGCGGTGTTCTTCCTGGCGAGCCTAGGCTACTTGATGATCGTGCTGTGGAAAGGCAGCGTGAGCGTGTGGGAGTCGCTGGGCTACCTGGGGATCTACGTGATCTACGCGCTGGTGGTGGCGGTGTGGGAGGTCTGGAGGGCCAGATGGGAATCGCGGAGAGGAGATGAAGAATGCGGGGGGGAGTATGCCCGGCTGGAAGGATCCAAGGGGGCCTCGAGCATTGAGAGGGTGATCACGGTGCCGCCGTGGCTGTGGGCGAACCAGGTGGCGATCTACTCGCAGGAGCAGCAGAAGATCGAGGAGGACGCGGCAGAGGCGGCAGAGGCAGTGCGGTCGAGCAGCGAAGAAGAGAAGAAGATGACGCGATCCAAGAGCTTGCTCAAGCTGGGGCGCAAGGCCTCCCAGGTGCTGATCGAGTGGCCACTCCATCTCCCTCGCCGGCTCACAATCCCAGTGGTGGACGAATCGCGATGGTCGCGACCTCGCGCGGTGGTGGCCGCCACGCTCGCGCCAATCCTCCTGGTAGCGGTGTGGAGCGCCCAGAATGGGATGCCCATCACTGGCGATTGCCCGTGGCTGGCGGCGGGGATGCTGGTGGGGATCGTCCTGGGCGTCACCGCCTACTTTACCACGGTGGACGAGCGTCCGCCGCAGGGTCACGGCACGGCGGCGCTGGTATGGATCGCCGCGGGCTTCTTCATGAGCATGGTGTGGTTTTACGTCATCGCGCGGGAGCTCGTTGCCGCGCTGGTCAGCCTCGCGGCGCTACTGGGTATCGACGCGGCGATCCTGGGTGTAACCGTGCTGGCGTGGGGCAACTCCATGGGCGACCTGGTTGCCAACTCAGCGCTGGCGTCCCGCGGTGGTAGCGCCGGCGTCCAGATCGCCATCGCGGGGTGCTACGCCAGCCCCATGTTTAACACGCTGTTTGGGCTGGGCGTATCGTTTCTCATCGTGGCCGTCCGATCGCACGGCGCGGTGTACGTCATCCCCGGTACGGAGATGGCTATGCTCACCCTGGTGTTCCTCGCGGTGGCCATTTTAATGGCCATTGTGGGCATGGCCGTACATAGGATGCGGCCTAGCAAGACGCTGGGCGTGGGGCTCATCGTCTTGTACGGAGCATTTATGGTGGTGAGAGCCTGCAAGTCGTTTGGTATCACACTGGTATGGTAAAAAAGAAAAGAGTAGAGTTTAATCTAAATAGCGATCAAAGATCTTGACACACTGGCGATTACTTACTGTACATCTTTTTCTACTAACTTATGAAAAAGGAGATTTTTACTTTGCTGCAACTCTCTTGGCTCGCTTTGCCGGTGTCACGACCTTCTTTGGCTTGGATGGAGTAGTGATCTTCTTCGTGACCGCGGGCCTGGAAGATCTCCCGGTGGCTCTAGTGGTTCTAGTAGCTTTCACGTCCCGTGACTTTGGAGCTGGAGCTCTCGGCTTTGGTGCTCGTGAAGTTGATTCCTTTGAAGGCCTTGGGGCTCGTGAGGAAGGCTTGATCACCTTCACCTTCTTTGCTGGGGATGAAGATGATGCTTTGGGGACCTTGACAACCACTCTGGCTGGCGCTGGCTTGCGAGACGAGGATTTGGAGGACGCGGACGATGGGAGCTTGAAGGAGTTCTTCACCTTAGTGATCTTACCGCTGTTGCTGAGTGATTTGAGCTGGATGGAGAGCATCCTCTTGAAAGAAGTGGGCAGCCCCGAACTGTACTTCTCCACCAGGTACTTGGCGATGGCGTGCTGGCTCGAGCCAGTGCGTTCCTTAAGAAAAGAAATCGCTTCCATGACCATCTAAAGTAGAGACCAAGAACAAAGACACACTCGATCAATCAAGCTATAGAAACAAAGAAGAGACTTTTACCTCAACATAAGGCGGGTGATGGATGCTGGTGTTCTTCGACGACTTGGGCTTTGGATCCTTCTTCACTGGCGCCACGATTTTCTGCTCATCCGGCTTCGCTTGATCCTTGGCGGAAGCTTGCTTCGCTCGCGATGGCTTCCTGTTGGGTTTTGCTGTAGTAGCCTCACCCACGGCTTCCACTGCCACTGCCATATCGATCAATCACACCACTCTTTGGAAAGAAAAAGAGGAATTTCTGCTCGATCACACAACCCAGCTGAGAAATCCGCGGAGATTGCCACCCGTACCGCTAGCTAGGGTCTGGTGAACGAGGATAAGGAACAGGGGATTTCTTATAGCGAAGCTCCGCAAGCTCCCATTGGCCTGTGCTTGTTGGCGCGGATCGATCCCATTCAATCAGAGCCGTTGGATCGAAAAGCATCAACGGGCAGCGCCACGAATACCATGATTTAAATCCAAGCATTAAGCTGGCAGGATTACTTGGACGCAACAGCTTAACCTTCGCAGAAGCAAAGCCAAAGAATAAAACTCCACTCTTTTTACCGTTGAAAGTGTTGACCATAGAAAAGTCAACAATGTCTGACTAGCTCGAGTTCTTTGATCCACACTCATTTATCCGTGAATTCGATGAGCTGAGCGACGACGCCAGGATCGGCCAAGGTGCTGATGTCTCCCAGATCATCCAGCTGCTTGGAGGCGATCTTGCGGAGAATTCTTCGCATGATCTTGCCGCTCCTCGTCTTTGGCAGGCCGGGGGCCCAGTGGATCGCGTCTGGAGCAGCGAAAGCTCCAATCTGCGGTGTACACACATTACGATTACTCGAGAAAACTTTCGCCACAACACCTCCTCTTACCTGGCATCGCACAGTTGATATCAAGCTCGACTTTAAATCTGCCGTGTACTCGACTCCTTCGTTGAGTGTCACGAAGGCATAGATTCCCTGACCCTTGACCTGCGAGGAGTTTCAAGATGAGATTGATACTTCAAAATGAGCTCTTGTTTTACCTCGTGATCGATGCCAACCACGGCAGCCTCGGCTGCCAGAGGATGCGCGACAAGAGCCGACTCTACTTCAGCAGTGCCAATGCGGTGTCCACTGCACAGCCCCACAACTCCAGTTACTTGAGCTGCAACAAAACAAATCCAGAGAAACAGACAAAACGTTACCTCACGTTGATAACGTCGTCCACACGGCCTGTCAACCAGTAGTAGCCATCTTTATCCCTGAATGGAATAGAGAGAAATAGTCAGAGAGAGCAAACGACCGAAGTTTGAAAGCAATAGACCTGCGACAGCCGTCGCCGCTGAAGTAGAATCCTTTGAAAGGAGCGAAATAGGTAGTTTCGTATCGTGCGTGATCACCGTAAAGACTTCGAAATATGCCCGGCCAAGAGGCTTTCATGCACAGGAATCCCGTGCATTCTCCGTCGAGTTCCTTGCCATTTTCGTCCACGACTGCTGGCTGCCACGACAAAAAACGCGACTGTATCAAGGAACGCAGATACCAGAAAGAGATGAATACCTGTACACCGAAGAAAGGTAGCGTGGCTGAGCCCGGCTTCAGAGGCCAACAGCCAGGTAAGGGTGTTATCTGGAAGAAAACAAGAGTGAAATCCCTTTTTGGTGTCGACAAGAATATGTACCATGAAGCCACCGGTCTCTGTTTGCCACCAGGTATCTGCAATGGGACAGCGACTATCACCGACAACTTCGAAATACCACCTGGAAAACACCATCTTTAAATAAAGCAGCATGCTCTAAGGTGGGAGCCCATACCTCCACGCGCTTGGATTGATCGGTTCACCGACGCTTCCTAAAACGCGCAAGGACTTTCGCGAATGCCGTTTCACTGGCTGGAAACAAGAAAACTCTTCAACGATTCACAGAATAAGGTAATCAATACCTCATCTCCTGATCTCATCAATGCTCGAATCGCTGTGGGGGCCGTGTAGAAAATGGTAACGTGGTATTTGTCCACAATCTCCCAACACCGACCAGCGTCGGGGTAATTTGGAACCTACACAAAGAGCCAAGTGAGTTGACGAGACAACCGGGCAAATACGAATGCTGACCCCCTCAAAGATCAAGACAGTCGCTTTGTTCAATAAAGGGCCATAAGTGACGTAGCTGTGACCAGTGATCCATCCACAATCTGCAGTACACCTGACATGGCATTACCTTGACGCGTGAAACAGTAACAAAAAAATATAACATTGTTGAAAAGTATACTTACCAGTAGACATCTCCGTCATGGTAATCGAAGGCATGCTTGAACGTTGTGGCGGTATAGACCATATAGCCACCAGTTGTGTGCAACACTCCCTGAGCAAAACAAGCATTCAGTTTTCGAGTATCTCATGAGAAAACCACCTTTGGTTTCCCAGTGCTGCCACTGGTGTACAGCAAAAACAAAGGATCCTCCGCGTCTACCCATTCCACTGGACAATCAGTGGGATAATTTGGAACGACATCCTAGAAACGTGAAGCAAAGAGCCCGATAAAAAAGAGAGAGACCAGAGAGATCAAATACCTGCCACCACACATCCCTTTTCTCTTTCCAGGGAGTGTCTTCTCTCTTGATCGCTAATTTATTATCATATGTCAAACAGTAATCTGCACAAAATCGCCAGTATGTTATCCACAAGCAGACGAAAATCGAGCATAATCAGAGTTTCTAGTACCTACAGAATAGCCACCCTCCTGTACACATCGATTTAAAGCATCATCTACAATTTCCTTAAGTTTGATAAGCTTTGGGCCCCGTTTTACACCACTGGTCGTGAGCAGAACCTTTGGCTTGCAATCCAGAATTCGTTGGGCAAGCGATTCAGCAGAGAAACCAGCGAACACGACCTGCAAGAACGAGCATTATATAACACACAAAGAAGGAAGAACGTACCGAATGAACAGCGCCAATGCGAGCACAGGCAAGCATTGCTATAGGCAACTCGAGGAGCATTGGCATATAGATTGCTACAGTGTCGCCTTTCTTGATTCCCACAGCGAGCAAATAGTTTGAGAGCTGATCACTACAAAGCTTTAGAACAAATGCTGCGCGAGAAAAGCGATAAACGACGTACCTGACAAACGCGATCGAGAAGCTCTTTGTACGTTAGCTTCATATCAAATCCTGGATCATTTGCTTCCCACAAGAGAGCAACGTCGTCACCCCTGCCCGCCTCTACATGCCGATCCACAGCATTGTAGCAAATGTTGGTACACCCTCCTTTAAACCACTGAGAGAGAAGTTCTACCAAGAGCATGGCAAGTTTACTCCACTTTGAAAGCATACCTCCACACGAATTTCTCCCTTGCGAACGTCCAAATTCTCGGTATGAGCTTTGCTCTCCTCCCACTTGGATTTCCAGAAGAACTGCGACGCGGTGTGCGACCAGAATCCATCGGGATCATCCACGGAATTTTTGTACAGTGCTGCGTACTACAAGTACGGCTATGAGAGGGGAAAATTCGAGAGATAGCGATGGATCATACCTGTTCTCTGGACGACAATAGAGCGGATTTTTTGAAAGTTTCCGACGCATCAAACAGCTCCTCGGCATCATCCGCGACGACACACTCGGCCTCCATTGCGTCGATCTTCCCGGAGGCGCCATTGCTGGCCTTGACAGCGGCGGCGGCCTGTCGTCCCATGCCGGTGGAGGCGATCGACGCAGCGCCGGGCAAGAATCGCCGCTGGCCGGATCCAAAATTCGCAAAACCTAGCGCTGGAGGTCCACAGCGAGAATAAAACCCTAGATCTTGACACACCAGTGGCAGTTGAATTTGGAGCTCTCTCACCATCGCTGCTAATGCCCGAAAATATTTCCAGATGCGCGGTATATTCTAGTCGTCGGATAAAGTCAAACGAATCGAGGCCGTTGCGCGAGCCATTTAATCTGGACAGTTGGAATTTGATTGATTGAATCAAGACCGTCCATTTTCTAGACTTTGGCGGTCTTTACTCGCGACGAATGCTACTCTGCATCTTTGATAATCCATGACGAGGACAAACGAACGAAGAAGCTGCTCGCAAAGAATTCCTCCAGTGTAGGCCGAGAAGCTCACCATTCCCCCCTCGCCTTTGAAAAATAGAGCTTTGATGTTCTTAAAGACGTGATCGCCCAGCTCGAAGCTAGGCAGTGTTCCATACAAGGCCTAGAAGAAGAAAAAGAGAAACCAAAATGGATCCAAAGTTTGGAGTGAATTGGAGGAGTACCTGGATACCACTGCTCGCATTCACTCCCTTGACTTTGGCTTCCAGGAAGGAATTGGAGTTTCCTTCTAGCAGCTTATACTTCTCGACGGTGCTGTTGGGGAAGATCACGTCTACGCCTCCAGCTCCTGTGTCAAGTAGAAACAATGTCTCGTGGCCGTTAAATTTTGCTGGAACATGAGGGACATTCTCTAGCATGCGCATCCTCTGCACAGAAAAAAATAATGGATTTATTTCCCATCGAGGAGGAAAATGGACGGACTTACCACAAAGCTTTGGTTCTTAGGAAACTGATAGGTGGCTGCGTTGAAAAGTGATAACGTCTTTTGCGTCATGGACATCTACAAAAGAAATCGAACAATGTAGCCTTGAAACATTTTTAGAGCCTCGTCTTTACCTCTACTACGCAATGATAAAACAAGTCGAAGCCGCAAATTCCTGCTACCGGTTGCACTCCTCTTACGACACCATCCATTGCTACCTGCAGATAAATTTATGTGAGATTGGAGAACGACAGGTTTTTCCTACTTCGATGTATAGCGGGTTGGTGATTTTTAGTCGTCCAAGCTGAAATTCTCGGCCACGAACAAACTTACTCTTCACCTGATGGCAAGTATTAGTATTTTGCATTCTTGACATTGATACTATACCTGAGTCTCTACACCCGTTACGTATATCTCCCCGAATTCCGCCATTGAAAATCTCTCTCCCTGGGCAAGAATTTCAAGTTAAAAAGAAACAATCTGGAGCCATTTTGTTTGTACCACGCCGGGAGCGAGAGAAAGACCACTGGCGCCGGTATCGACCACAAAATATCTGTAACTTAACAACATGAGACCGCATAACAAAAAAAAAAAAAAAGAATTCTGTGACTTTACCCAATGTCCTGACCGTCAATCAAAGGCTTTACTACGTAGTGTCCGCTAACGGTTTGAATCATCTGTCGCACCAAAGTTATAATGGAACAGCAAGCTCTTACACAAGAAAGACACATACATACCTTCACAGTGGAAGAAATGTCTTCGTCAAATTCAACCACGGGCCTTCGTTTGTTATGCCTTGCTATCTGGGGTGTGGATGGAACTGTAAACAAGCTTTGAGAAATTCTGGCAGCTTCAGCACGACTTGCAATAGTAGTGTCTTTGCCACCAGCTGGTGGATATCGCACAGTCGAGCACGGCATTCGATACCGACGACCAGGCTGCAAAATTGATCTGAAAGCTTCATTCTCCTAATCAGCTCGTCCTAGAGGATTATGAGTTATAAGTACCAGAATGCATCGCCAATCGGAGTACTCCCACACGTCCTCCCCACCAAAAACTTGTGTTCTCATTTGAGTTGGAAGCCAGGTGTCTGTATCCACATGAACACGAGCCAGTACCTATCATGTTTCCGAAGAACGGGAGCAAGAACAGGAGAAGAGCAATTTTGTTTTCAATGAACTAAAGTTGGAGTGGAAAACGTACCTTCGAGTCTTTCAAGTGTACTTCGAAAATCTTCTCTGAAGGAGAATCCTTGTCCAGCTCGATGCTCAGCTTCGTCTGTCCACCGGCTGAAATCCAAAAGCCTGTTCTTAGCCAAGTCGTCAGCAAACTCGTCTGCAAGGTCAGTATGATAAGATTTTCGATCTTCGGAGAATCTATGAAACCAAACCTCTAGATCGTCCAAATCTAGCGACGTAACTCGTCCGGCATAGTCGGCATGCCATGGTCTGCTAGTGCCATCGTATCCTCCATCCACAGTGACTTCCTCGCTATCGAATTTCTCGTAAAACCGGCCATCGGAACTCCACGACAAATTCCACTCTCCAGTAAGACCCATGAAAGTTTGCTCTCCTACACCATCGAAACCAAAAATCCTCAGCCTAGACAATGCAATCCTGCGGGAACTCACCAGTGACAGTGAATTGCTCGTTGCCAGCAATGTCATCGATCCCCATCGCCTCGCGCATTTTCTCCAAGCACTGCTCCACGGACAAAATCTGGCGATGCTCGAGCTCCTGGACCTGCATCGAGCACTGGGACTGGCACAGCCGCGCGGCATCGCGCCTGCGCCTGCCGGAGAACCCTAAACCCCACAATGGAGCTGCCGCGACCTGAAGAATCAAGCCCTGCTTCCCAATCGCCCGATTCACAGGCCCTGCTTGTGAGAATCCATAGCGCTTCAATCGATTTCCGCTGGAAATCACGATGGAGGACGATGGCGCGGCGCAATAAGCTCCGACTGCCATTGCCTCCACAAAAATTCCCTAGAAACGCTACTAATGACCTAGCCGTTGGATGCCAGATCCGACGGACAGCATTGTGCCACGTATTTATATCATCGGACACTGCTTAAATACTGCCCGTTAATTAACGCCACTACGTGGAGTTCTATGACATGTGGCGGCTGGAGATTTGTCGACGTCGGCACTTTTCGCCGACGTGGCGATGGTGTGCCAATTTTCTTGGACGGAGTTAGGGCTCTTGGAGAGATGAGCTTGAAGCGATTGGAGGCCGCGGCTAGAGGCATTCAAATCTTTCCGGGACGCGCTGGCGACTGGATCATGCCCGGATCGTGGATCTTTCCCGCATTGTAGCTCCTAATTGGAGCGATGGATTTGTCCGGGGCGATGGCAGTGGATCTCAAGAAGGTAGGCGCTTCCAATGCCGGATTATCGCCCTGAGGATGGATCTTTTTGCAATCTAGAGCATGTCGCAGGCGTACAGGAGGCCAGGATCGAAAGAAGAGGGCCAGAATGGGAGCGACGCGGCGGCGCCCAATCCTTACAGCAGTCCAGCCTCGTCGATGACCAGTGCCTCCTCGCTGAGCAAATCTGGGAATCAAAGGGCGGAAGCGATCGCCGAGGCTCATCGAGGGAGAGTGGAGGCCGAGGCACAGGCTTATTTGGATGCTACCATGCGCAAGACCGAAGCTCGAGCTCAGCGTCTACAGGTATGGGCGATCAAATTCTCGAAAAGATTTCCTTGCTCGATCGCTTACCTCGATCTTCTTGCGTTCTTTGCTTCTCTTCTCCAGGATAAAGTCGAGAGGCAAAGAATGTACGAGGAAGCTAAAGCTCTTGAGAGTCACAAAAGGGAGGAGCAACGAGCGGATCAAGTGGTTCACAATGCGGAGGTAAGCTCCAATTCCTGGTGTGTAGATATTCCTTTTGTGATCGATTGTTCTTGATCCAGCTAGATAGAGCGAACCAGATAGTAGATAATTCTATTGTGACCGATTGTTCTTGATCGAGCTAGATTCTTCCTTCTTGTTCTATCTAATTTACTTTCGTTTCATCCATCTACAGGTAAAGGCTGATAAGATCCTGGCAAGAGCTCGGCAAGAGTCGCAAAGAATAAAATCCCATGCGAACGAGGAAACCGAGAAATCCATAGCCAACGCGCATACAAAAGCCGAAAGGGTACTCTTTTCTTCTTCTCATTCTTTGTTCTAGAGGTGACCAAACTTTTTTTGTCTAGATGAAAGCCGAGATCGAAGAGGCAAAACGCAGAGAGCTCGCGGACATTGTCGATCGCGTCCAGCAAATGATCGTCATTGGGCAGCTCCCCAGCCAACACGAGCCCAGCAATCTGGTGAAGAAGGTGAAGCAATTTGCTTGCTACATTTGAGAACTTCAACTTAAAGCAGGGAGTCATCACACATTCCCTAGAAAGAACTTCCACTTTTCTTCTACGAGTTCTTCCGGGATCCTTGGAACGAATGCTCCTCGTGAAAACTTTCACGTATTGCTAGAAAGAATGGATGAATCGCGAGAGGTATTTCGTGGGGCTGATCAAAGCGTGTGGAGCTTCCAGGGACTTAGCCGCGGGGAGAAGCCTCCACGGCCATGTCATAGAGGCCGGGTACGGCAACCGCCCATACCTGGCCAATACTCTCATCGTCATGTACGGGAGGTGTGGCAGCGCCAAAGAGGCCCAAAGGGTGTTCGATGGCATCGAATCGCCGGATCCCTGGACATGGAATCTACTCTTCTCGGCATATGCCCAGAATGGGCATCTTGGCAAGGCGCAAGAGCTCTTCAGGGATATACCATTCCGCGACGTTGTGACGTGGAACGTCTACGTCACCGCGCTGGCGCAAAACGAGAATCTTCTCGAGGCCAGGCAGGTGTTTGACAAGATGCCCGAGAGGAGTATATTCTCGTGGAACGCGATGGTATCAGGGCATTCCCGGAATCGGCAATTGGAGGAATCTGTGGATCTGTTCGAGAAGATGCCCGAGCGCTCGGTCGTTTCTTGGACCGCGCTAGTCAACGTGTTCGGACAACGGGGCTTGTTAGACCAGTCTAAGTGGATTTACTCGCTAATGCCCACCCACGATATTGTGTCCGGGAATTCCCTTCTTGCGGCATTTGCCGAGAGTAAAGAAGTGGCACAAACAAAGAATCTCTTTGATTGTTTGCCCGAGAGATCGTCCTCTACGTTTAATCCAATGCTCAAGCTTTACAAAGACACTGGCGATTTTGCCAGTGCCAAAGAAGTCTTTGCGCGAATGCCCAATTGGAACCAAATCGCGCTGAGCACAATGATCCAAGCATATGCCCAAGAAGGGCATCTTGCAGAGGCAGAGGAATTATTCCAGAAAATGCCCGATCCAGACGTGGTCGCGTGGACCGGGATGGTAACTCTCTACGCGAGATTAGGGCTCGTTGACCGGGCAAAGACCACCTTTGACCGGATGCCCGTGAAGAACACCGTGACGTGGATGGAGATGGCACGTGTCCTCTCGGAAGCCGGCCACGTGGACGAGGCCAAGGCTGTATTTGACTCGATGCCTCGACGGGGTATAATGTCGTGGACGTGCATTGTAAACATGTATTGTACGAATGGTGAAGTGGAGCTGGGGAAGGCAGTGTTTGACAAGATGCCGCAGCTAGATTCGTACGTCGTGATCGTATTAATGGCCGCGTACGCACAGACGGGGAGAATCAACGAAGCCAGGCGCGTGTTCGATTCCACCCCCCAGCCAGACACGGTGACGTGGAATATTCTCATATCGGCATATGCCCTGTCCCGGCATTTGCAGGATGCCAAGAATTTCTTCGACGTTATGCCGGAGAGGAGCTCGGTGACGTGGAATGCCATGCTGTCAGGGTACGGACAACATGCCCAGTGGGGACAATCCGTACAAGTATTCTCCAGGATGCCGTACCACGACACACTGTCTCTGAATGTAATGCTTGCAGTGAATGCTCAGCGGGGGCATTTGGATCAAACGAAAGAAATGTTTGAGGTCCTTCCGGATCAAGATGTGGTGTCATGGAACACGGTGATCATGGCGTTCTCTCAAGCTGGGCAATTGAACGAAGCCCTCCTTTTCTTCCAGGAGATGTGTCTCAACGGTGTGACACCCGATCAAGTGACGTTCACAAACGTTTTAGCTGTTTGTAGCCACATTGGTGTCACCGAGAAGGCCTGTGGTTACTTTACCTCGATGGTTGGCGACCATGGTATCGCTCCAGCGAGAGAACACTATGGAGCGATCATAGACAATCTCGCGAGATCTGGAGAGCTGGAAGAAGCTGAGGAGCTTGTGACGAACATGCCTTACAAGCCCGGCGAGATGGAGTGGTCGGTTCTTCTCTCGGCTTGTAGCTCGTACAAAGATCTCGAGCGAGGTAAGCGAGTAGCACAAGTTCTCGAGGAGATCATGCCGGATGAAGCAGCAAACTATGTGTCACTCTTCAAGGTTGTCGCTGATTCGAATACACCAGTCTAGCGAGAGGATACGATGGTCTGCCATTGTAACGTAAGATCAATCAAACAAATGGAATGAATTTTACTCTCTTTTTCTTTCGCGAACGAACCGGATGGACAAAACGCGGGCCTCGGTGTCGTAGAGTTCACTCTTGCTCTCACTTCGATGAGGAACGCTGCTTGTGGATCTTGAAGCCGTAAATCTTGGGAACGTACGTGTGCGTCGGCCTGGCGGGCTTGAGGTGTGGATATGTCATGAGGAAGAGATGCGGGAACGTTGTTCCAAAGTAAGTTCCGTCAAGGTCTGGAAGCGAGAAGGTGATGTGTGAGCAAACAGGAAACGAGAAGTAAAAAAACTTACTGCCTTGGATCTTGGAGCGGGGGTAATAAATGTCTTCGCATTTGGGGCAAAAAATCTTCACAGTGCTTTGGCGAGGGATGTCCGACTGCCCCATTGGGAGGCATTGTTGGCCGCCACAGAACACTCGCGGACATCGGCCAAAGTCCACATTTTTATACTTGTCCAGCTGCGAGCACGAAAGGAAACTTTGATACAAAACAGCAAAAGCTAGAGCACTCACCATGGCAGCCATGCCTTTACTTGTCAGTATGTAGCGCACATGAATTAATCCATACAACATCTCCGCGGCGGATTCCACAATCTCGTTCTGCTCTTCGGTTAGCATGTCATCTGCAAAGAGAATGGTTTAGAACGAGCGACGCACAAATGCAAAAGCAAAGGCTCACCAGTTGGAGATTCGACGTCAAGAATAAGGTCCAAGGCGTACTCGTAGTAAGGAACTTGGTTGCTGAGGCCACTCAAGTTGAAATCATCCTGGATGTACTCGGCGTCTACTTCGCAAAAGAACTCGTTCCCTCTTAGTGCACAGTACCATGGTATCCACGAAAACTCCTCGCCCTCGTCTGAGCCACTCACATCGGACTCCTCGCTCTCGGTGTCCGACTCCTCAACTAAAGAAAAGAGAAAGAAAAAACACGACCAAGTCAGTGTCCACCTAGAAATAAAACCACGACAGAGTAGAAAAAAAATTCTAGAAAACTTACCATCTTCTGTGACAGATTTCTCAAACAATGCTGCCTTGTTATCAGTGCTACCGCCAGTTCGTCGTCCAGCCGGAGTAGACATTGGCGCTACCACCGACCTCTCCTTCTCTTTTCCATTTGCCGCCGACGCCTTGGAGGTCGAGGGCGATGCCTTGCTTCCCTTGGAGCTTTTAGATTCGTGATCCAAGTAAAGCTCGGACTTCCTACCACTGCTGCCAAGGCTATACCCTACTCTCTCCCTAGTATACATATCCGCGAGCCCTGCTGCTACGCTACCAAAAACCTACCGCTGTGATTATCGATGCCTCAATTCGATTCCTCAGCCCCTACGCATCGCCCGCGCACCCACATTTATTTCGGAACCAGCACGGCGCGCTCACTGGAGCGTTTCCCCTGGATCCGGCACCGCCGCCTCGACGCGATGCCGCAATGCCTGGATTTTCGCCGCAGCTGGGATCGCTTCGTGAGATCTGCGAGAGAATGCGGCGCGGCGATGTGATCGACGCGGCGATCGTCATGGCGAGGAGGAGGCCGCCATGGCCACTCCAATATCACACACACCCAAAAAAGAGGTTCTAAGGGCAAAGCCGTCAGGATTTTATGGGTGACGGCCCCGACGGGCGTGATGTGCGTGACGGGCCGTGTAGGGTTTTGCCCAGTGAACACGTGGTGCCACGGTGGAGGCATCCTGGCCGTCGGAACCACCGGCCGCGATGCGTGCGTTTTGAAATGTTCCCTCCAAGGGCCTCCCCATTCTAGGGTTCTAGCGAGAGGGGAAGCTATGGCGCCGGCGCCAGCTGTAGGGATGATTCGCGCGTAAGTCTGGAGCTCCAGGAATGCTAGAAGAGTAGATAGATTTCACAGTATTGTCTCCTGGAGCAGTCGATTCCGATGAGCGGCGCCGCCGCTGGGGCAGAGGATGTGGAGGCCGAGCCGTGGTTCCATCGCAGGAAGTCTGATACCTCGAGCGTTCTCAGCGGCCTTAGTGATGAGGTAAGTAGGTGCGTTTCCTCGCGATTCCTTTCCTAGCACAAGTTTATTGCTGGGTTTCTTAAAAGTCCTTGCGATCCAGGTTGAGAGCGAATGCCAGAGTGATGTGATTGACCATGAAAATGAGAGCGTGGAGGAAACGGAGCTCTCGTCAAGCTTGCAGAATAGCCGTCTCGATCAAGTGGGTTTCGAGGACGCGCCTACGCCCGTCCAGTTTCCGCCACTGGCATCCCCAAGAACACCGAGAACCACGCCACGAACGCCCATTGTGGTTGAGTGCCCCGGTGCTCCAAGCGTTCGCACGCTAAGGTTTTTTCTCTTGTCCCTTCTTTTTTCCTTTCACTGTAACACAGTGTTTTTGCATTTCCAGAAGCAAAGAGATGGTACGACAGAGCAGCTTGAGTGAAACAAAGCTGCTCATGACAACCCAGTTAAAGAGAACGTATAGCAACTTTCTCTTCGACAAACACTTCGATTTTCTCCGGGAGATTGGTCGAGGCTCGTCAAGCAAGGTACCTATACGTATTTGTGATTCACAACCATTCTAACATTCTCGTCTTCGTTCCTCCTTCACGCAAGGTATATGAAGCTCGTGACAGGAGACACGGCGTGCTCTGTGCCGTGAAAATCAGCAAACAGCCCTTCTTTGCTCGAGAAGACAGAGAGCGCTTCCTTAGGGAGATTCAGAGCGTTGCTTGTCTCCCGGAGCATCCCAACGTCGTAAAATATTATAGAGGATGGCAGCAGGACGCGCACTTTCACATCCAGATGGAGCTCTGCGACGGTGGCAGCCTTCGCAACTATCTGGATGCTTTGTCACAACCACTTGACGAGAACAAGGTACAAACAAACTTCCAGCTCTCTCATATCATGGCTTACGAACGAAGATTCATGGATTCTATGCAGGTGTGGTGTTTTATACGCCAAGTTGCGTCGGGTCTGGATCACATACACTCACATGGTGTCCTTCACCTCGATATAAAACCGGAAAACATTCTTATATGCGGCGACAGTGAAGGTCTGTTTGCTCGAACAAAAAGTCATTCGTTTGATGGCCTCGGTACTTTTCCAGGTACACTTAAAATTTGCGACTTTGGTCTCGCTGTCCAGAAGCAAAGCCTTTGGGACTGGGAAGAAGGCGACGGAGCGTATGTTGCCCCGGAGCTACTCATGGACCAGGAACCCGGCGCCGAGGCGGACATGTTTAGTTTTGGCGTGATGGTTTACGAATGGGCCACGGGAGAGCCTCTCCCGCGTCCAAACCCCGAGGTGGAGGTCCAGATCGCTTCTTTCCCCGGCAGAACAGCAGCTCTCACAGATCTCGTCCGAGCGCTGCTACGCTTGGAACCATCACGAAGGCCAACAGCAGGAGAGGTACTTCAGTGGCAAAGCCACAAGAAAGGAGAACGATTGCTGATATAACTTATAGCGCTGCTCTCGAGGTCAGTTTCTAGTTTCAAGTTCTCGCGATGGCTGATACACTTGTGAACTTTCTTTCAGTGCTCGCAAAAGCTTTCGAGAAGAGCAGCGAATATCTTTTGTAAGTTTCGAGTTTTTATCCATCGAGTGGTTCTCTCTCCTAGAGTGGTGCTACTGCCGCCTTACTTTGTTCGAATTCTTCCAGCAGTGGAGCGTGAAGCTCTTTGATCCGATCCACGCAGTAGTCATAGAGAGCTCGCTGGTGATTCCGGTAGCAGCGGTAGCAGCGCGGATCATCCCTGGCTCGCTCCACCTGCTGGATCATCCTCTTGTAAATAACGTAACTCGAGTCGCTGGCGATCGATCGAGACGGAGGAGCCAGCTTCGCTTCAAAGAAGTCCTTCTCGCCGACTGGAAGCCGCGAGTACTCGAAGACGTGAGCCAGGCGATCCCGGTGGTGCCTCACGCCAATCTCTCGCGGATCGCCCACCTCGCGACGCATCAACATGCCCAGCTCGCCAGCTCGGTCCTGGAACACCGCGATCTCCGCCAAGAACAGCAGTCCATCGCCGAGATTGATAGCCCAGGCGGTGTCTTGGGACTTGGATCGAGCGTCGAAGAGCAGTACCTGGATCATCGTGTCGCGCAGCCGATCGCCCAAGAGCTCCTGGAAGACGAGATCTTTCCACTGGGAGAGGCCATCGCCATCGCCATCGCCATCGCTGGAAGGATCGAGCTTGAGGTAGAGCCTGGAGCACGGGGCGGCGATGGTAGCGCGGGCGAGGGAGTGGTAGTGTAGCGGCGGAGGCGGTGGCGGCGTTGGCCGGGATTGATCGAGCGTCGCCGCTGAGGAAGAGGGCGATCGATCGAGCAGGGCCAGGGATTGGAGGAAGATCTTGGCGCGAGAGGAGCCACGGATGCGGCGGAAGAGAAGGAAGACCTTGGAGAGATGGAATGTGAGGTGTGTCTTGATCTCCGCCACGGCCGATGCCAGCGCCATGTCCGTGATGGGCTTGAAGAGCGCGCGATCCTCGAGGCGGAGGAGGGAATATAGCTCGCGCTGGAAATCCATGGGTACCTGGAAGTGATCGAAGAGGGACTGGAGCTTTGTGACGAGCTGCTCGGCTTCCTCGTCCCGGGCATTCTCCTCGGCCAATGTGAGGCCATAGCCCAGCTCCATGGCCTCCGCCGCCGCCAAATCGTCCTCTTCCTGGCGCCGCTCCTCCTCCTCCCAGGCGTTCGCGTCCTCCATGTCGAGATCCTCGCCCATTCTGCCAAGAGCCCTAATCTTGTGAAGAAATAAAATAGCAAATAGGATATAACATCAGGAAATATATTAAAATATTCGTAAAAATATTCTCATCCACAACATACAGTAATGTGTAATAGCTCCTTTTTTTTTTTTTTTGTTAGGTCAGCATCAATGAGGAAGACACAAGATCTAGTGCTCTCGGGAGACGCTTTAGTGACGCAAGCGTGTGCTCCAGCGCGCCAGGCGCGACCTCGGAGCCCGGGCCAGGCGAGAGTAACCAATCGCCGGAGAGCAGCCAGGTATCGTGCTCGACCCGGCGCGGCGGAAGCGCCCGGAGTCGTCGCGGCGGGATCGCCCGCTGGATTGGCGCAAGCTGCAACACGGGATGGAGTCGGCGCGGCGGAATCGCCCGCTGGAGCAACACTGGCTCGAGTCGGCGCGGCGGAAGCAGGGGGCGTCAGATTAATATACCAAATTATATTCCGTCGCTTCTCTCCCCCACTTCTCTCCCCACTCAGCTCCTTTCTCTCGCTCAGGTCATAGCGATTGTCGCTGTCGGAATTCCACTGCAAGGACCTCCAGACTCCTTGGCAGCCATAGCAGCAGCGCAGTGGATTCCTTTGTCCACGTTCTTCTTCTGGCAGCCAGACAAAGGATGCGCTGCTCGTATCGAGGTCGCCACCAATTTCCTGCTTTCTTCTGCCGTGGATTGTTGTCCGTTCGTTGTTGTTACAACTTTGTGTTGCTTGTTTTTGGTGATTGGAGTATGGCACTGCGAGTTTGGTGTCGTCTGTTCTGTTGTTTCCTTTCGTTTTCCAGCCGTGCATTGTTTCATTGACAAGTGTTTGCCTCTGGACATCCATCTGTTCCAGGAACCTGGTTATCTCCACCGCGTTCTCAGGTGTCCCAAGGATGTTAGCTACAGGCATATCTCATGGGATCTCGTAACTCATCGTATCCTGGGCATTCCTTGACCACATATGTTATTGTCTCAACACACATGCCACACACTGGGCAAAGTTACAGATGTCGCGGGATCTTTGTTGGTCTTGTTCTTCAACCTAGTTCCACGAGTAGTCAACCTGCAAGGAGTTTCTGTCCAGGGGGAGAGCTGATCGTAGAAAGCTGTTCCCACTTGTTCCTTTGGGTTGATCTCGCCCACATAGAGCTTGTAATTTGTGTGGTTCTTCTCGGCTTGGATCCAGCTTATTAGCATGGTGTGTGTCTTGAATTCAAGATCTTCATGTAATCGTTCTGTGACGAGATTCAAATTGAGTCTTTTGGTCCACTGTTTCATGCTGCCACCAGCCGCCTGCCTGAGTTGCTGTGACTCCACAATGGCATGATCCGCAACTTCTCTAGCTTCAGAAATGTGCTCTTTCGGATATAGATGATTGTGTGCCGCCATGTGAGTGTTTCCAGGGGAAAGAGGCCACTCTAATATGTATTACATTATGACTTGACAAATTGTTTATTTGGTCTTGTAGTAGTTCACCACAAGCATTATGTCATTTGCATATAGTAATAGGTTAGACAGTTGTTGCACCAGTAGCCACTCTAAGTCCATCAATGAACCGAAAAGCGTGGGAGACAACAGGCAAGTGGATGGGTACTTGTGCAGAGAGCGATGGCTTGTAGCAGAGGAGGACGCACTTTCAACGCAGAAATCGGCAGCCAGAAATCAAGAAGACATGATTTTTAGAAATGGGGTTTTGAAGAATGCTAAAATGTGTATCCATTGGGTATTCATACAATCCCATTGGGAGACATCAGGTATTCACATGTGGGATGTAGTGTTATATATAGTACTTGCCCGATGGATGAATTCATGACAATGGATACACATTTTTCCGGATGGATGAATTCATGACAATGAGAAAGATGAATGTTCCCAACCAATTTTCACTAAGCAATGTGTCTGAGTGCTCTGTTGATAAAATTGGAATCCACTAGAAGGTCTCACATAAGAAGTTGATCCTAGGTGATCCATTTGTGGTACAGTTAATTCCAACCCAACAAACTCAAAAGCAAGGAATTTGTTGTTGACACAAGTTGTGATAAGCCACCTTGGGAGGTGGAAAAAAATGCTTATCGCAGGAAATATTTGCTTTATACTTCCCAAGAGGAACATGTGCCTCCTGATAGGAAAATTTGGCTTTTTCTTTCCCAATGGGAAAGATTTAAGAAACTTCAAAGCATGTTTCTCTCAAAAAACAAATTTACGATTTTTTGTATTCTAGGGTTCAATTCATTTTTTACCATGTATGTTCAAAGCTGCAAAGAGAAGTTGTTTTCTACTCTCCATTTTCCGCTAAGGTAACAATAACACTAATTTTTTACCGTGAGATGCTATACATCATTCACAATTCTTGTTAGAAGTAAATATTTTGGTGTGGCATTGTAAATGGCCACATTTGACACTAGATTATAACTTGGGTTGCGCTTAGGTGAATCTCAAAGAAGGAGGATGAAGCATACTTTTCTTTTTTCTAGAATTCTTTCTCTTTTTTTTTCAAAGCATGTGTGATGTGCAACTAATCTAGTGATGACACATTAATCCAAGGGAGACAAATCAATCAGCCAACTCAAGTCTTATAGGTAAAGGTAAGTTTTGTGATAATTCACAATAAATCATAGTAGATTGTAGATGCTAATATGTTTTTGATAGTTTTTCTATGATGACTATAATGCAATATAAGTGGATTGTTGCCGGTGATACAAAGAGCAGGAAGAGGAAAATTGAATCAATTGATGATATTATTTGAGACAAACATCTTTGTATTTTGAGGATTAGTTTGATTTTTAAATTTTAATTTTTCTTTTGTGGTAGGAAACTGAGTAAGAAATTAGTGTTTTTGCTAATAGTAAAGGTATATCAATTGTTTGAAAAAATAAGGATTGAAAACTATTCTTTCTATATATTTTACAACTTCTATAGTATATCATCTTGCTAGATATGAGGACCTAATAGTTCTCATGTCTACATTGTTAAACATATAAAAGTCATGTTGGAGACTGTGAAGGAAGCCCAAGACACTCAATGGCCAATCCAGTAGTTTACTCTTATGAATGTATCATCAAAGAGTCAGGGCGGAATGAGAGAAACAATATTCAATGCAAACAATGTTTATAATTTAGTTGAGGATAATGATCTTGAAGAATATTTAAGCCCATTATGAAAAAGGTCCTTTCCAATCTAAATTAAAAGAAGTAATAATCGGTTACGAGTTTTGGGATATATATCCTTTGGGTTTAAATAGTATCGGGCTAGGTGACCTTTTAAGAAGTCTAAATTCAAAATTTTACATTTGGTATCAAAGTTGTCTTAAGTCCGATTCTGTTGGTTGGTTTAAAGAAATCACACCACATGTTGAGATTAACATCTAATAAATGTAATTTGCCTCCAGTTGCACTCAACTCGAGGGGTAAAGTGTCAAGAGAGTAGGGCTCTCAAGAGAGCTATAGCTCTCAACTTCCATTCATGAGGGCGTAAAATTATAAGGAAGCATGATGGATTGTAAGCAACTAAAAAAATGATTTAAGAGAAAGTCTATAAAAGTTCAAATTTAAAAGGAAAGAGCTCATGAATGAGAGTGCACCTTTTTTTCAAATCGGTTAAAATTTTTGAGATACTTGGGGTTAAACATCCATAAATTTGAATAATACTGAGTTGAGTGATCTTTTAGAAATTTAAATTCAAGAGTTTATACTTGACATCAAATCCATTCACTACAATTGACTCTTCTGCTACATCTATCACTAGAACTTCTTCAAGTGAAGAATTAAATATAAAAGTCAACCCATTGAGGTAGAAGTTGAGGCCATTGAGCTAGAGATCATGACTTTTGACAATATTGGGGTTATAGCAATTATATCAAACTTGATTGGTGTCAGCTCTTGCATGAATTT